CAGGTGGGACAGGAAGCTTGCACCTGCACCTGCGGAACACCATACAAATTATGGCTTTTTATATGACCAATTCTAGCTAAGCTTAAGCCAAATTTATCGTATGTTACGTTAAAAGAAAAATGATAAGTACAGCCACCGTAAGTACGATATTTGCTGTCATGTTTTTCGTTTATTAACGGCTACCTTTGGTTGCTATTTGTTGGTAATCGTCCGTACTTCAACGACAAGCCTCCTGTTGTCTCATTTAATTTTGATTGGTACCGTTAGGGCTTACCGGAGACCAGCATTAGCACGTAGTGTTTTTCGTTTGGGTGAAGCTCCAGTTGCATCACTTAGGTGTTCATCGAACTGGTATGGTAGTTTAAACAGGCGTGCTCTGTTTGCAACATGACCGAGACGGTATGAAGCACGTTGGAGTGTGACACAATAGTATTATCAAAGCTTGAACACATAACTTATTGGAAAAGCGCCCGACTTTCGTTAACGTACAAGTCAATGACTAGGTAAAGTGTCATAGCAATATGATAATGCTTATACAATCACCTAGAACGCAAATTTTCACCTTCATTCGTCATAGTCATATGGATGATTGAAGACTCCAGGTTCTCAAGGAGGGTCCGCTCTACTTAAATAAAGAAAGCGTGTAGTATGCATGATCCATGTAGGAAAATTTAACAACGTCTCTCATTGGCACTTGCGCCTCACAAAAATATTCGTGAACTATTTTTTCCTTCCCCCATTATACATTCTTTGTCCCCAAAATTTCTGCTGCATTGCATTCCTTCATTGCCGTAGGCAGATGCATCGTGCTGGTGTTTTTACGCTTATACTGCTGGCATATTTTTTCACAAACCACAAAGATGACACAAAGTTGCTGTTTTCGTGTTGATTTCACGATCCATCTTCGCCTTTGATAGCCAAATACGCCATCACAAACATATCCCAGACTGAGAAGAAGTAGATGTGATCGCTGGGACAATAATTTTATTCGCCTGACCTATCGGAATCCGTCGCGGATCCATCACCTAAAGCAATAGCAGAAACGAGTCTCTGATTGTGGATCCGGGGTGGATTTCGAGACGCCAGGGCTAATAAAATACTTCGTCCAACGATTACATCTACTGATTCTCAACTACCTCCTGGGAGTCGCATTTTCGCTTGCATTAGCAACATTCCAGACTGGTGTTTAAACCGGTTTCATCCCAAAGTTTCATTGTGTTACCTGCGTGTTAGCTGTTGGCACTTGCAGTATCGCAGTCTTTCGCCTCTTGCATGTTTTCCCGCTACATTCGCCTCCCCTCTTATTTTTGCAGTGCTCTTACCTAGGGCACATATAAGTCTGTTGCAGTTTACTTAGACGCCCGTTTCATCTTCTAGAAGGAGAACCTGGTCAGTCCGCGGATTTTCGTGAAATATGACTGTAAGTGACCTGCATGAGATGCATATATTTGAAAGAAAAGTGGACTGATTATGAATTTAATCATTGCACTTACCGCGTAAAACCGCATTTGGAACTGATAATGCACTGTGTTTTCTTTGCAGCCGCGAGACATTGGCAAATGAGAGCGTACATATTCCAAGCTCGTGGTCTGCTTGCTGGCGATCAGACGGGTCTGTCCGATCCCTACGTGCGCGTCAACTTTGTGAATCAATCGCAGAAGTCGGAACGCCTTGAGAAGACGCTGTGTCCTCAGTGGGATCAGACACTCATATTCGAGGACCTACAACTACACGGCAGTCCGGATTCCATTATGGATGCACCACCGCCGGTTACCATTGAAATATTTGACTGGGATCAAATAGGAACGGATACATATCTTGGTCGTTGCAGGGTAATACCTCAGTTATCTTCGAATTCTCCCCGTCTCCTTCCTTCATTTATAATAATTCTGAGGAAGGAATTAGAGATCCTCTTCTGTTTTCCTACACTAAAGCTGTGATCCTTCTTTTCCACAGACTGAGCCCGTAGTAGTCCTCGAACCTGAGCATTCCAAAGATGTCCTACTGCAGTGGTATAAATTTGACTGCATTGGCAAGGATGGTGGTGAATTACTCGCGGCTTTTGAGCTTATCCTGGTAAGCCCGCACAGTGGAGGATTGAATACCAGTTTACTTTTCTTTAATCTCAATTTGGAAAAACACCAGAATTTAACTGTGCTGTCAATACTTACGATGTAGAGTTAAAATAATATTTTGGCGTATCAGAAGAAGGCCGATATTTTCAGTACTACCGGCAACAATTATTCTGCTTGTTCACACGCAGTCAGAGCAGCACGCACTACCGTGCCAAACAGCTGTGTTCAATTCCTGGAAAGAAGTTGTCTCAGGGGCCGCCCCAACAATAAGACTTAAGTCGAACGCTAAATTCCACTAAGAAAAAAAGACCTTGGTTGAAATAAATGAGCTCATTATCTGCTTTAGAGGTGGAGGCGTAAGTTTCGGTGAAACGAACAACGTCTTAAAACATGTAGTGCCCATAATGCTGACAATACGGCTCGTTCTATGTTGTATAGGTCATTTTGTTATTGCCTTGTTTCGACGGTCATAACCGAGTCAGCTATGGAGGCGATGTGGCACGCTTGGGCTCCTGCATGTTTGTTCATTAACGTCGCAGAATGCATTTGTAAATACTGATTTTAGGTATTAACTAAGTTCAACATTATATAATCATCAAACCAAACTAGTATAAAGCACAAAAATCGTACGCATAAGCAGAAAACACTGTGGGCTGTGTTGTCATCATTTTTAGCATATTTGTATTATATCTCATGTCGACAGGCGTAATTTATTTTCGAACTACGAGATTTATCGGCCCATCAGATGTCCCTTTGCATGACCACCTTAGCTTGTGGTATTTACGTAT